GAATGACCAAAAAAATCTTATGTTCCAGAAAGGAACAATTTTGGGGTTTGTTAGAGCATTTTCAGTCCTCAGGCACTGGGGCTGGAGGTACTGAGTGGGTAGAAAGCCCTCCTAGCATGCATGAGGCCCTAGTTCTACCCCTAGCATAAACAAGCAGTCTGGAGGCTGAGGCAGCGAAATCAGTCCTGACCTAGATTGTGAGTTTGAGAACAGCCTGGGCTACCTGAGATATCCCCCCTCCCCCCCCACACACACACTTTTCAACCCTCAAAAACCCTGACCACCCTAAGTGGAGTATCACTCACACCAAGCCACCAATCTATCCAGCTATCACAAATAACTCTCTTAATTTTTTTTTTTGAGTGAAAGTTTTATTAGACAGGGGAGGGAGGGGGAATGAAAGAGAAAAGAGGTAAAGACACAGGGGGAGAACAGAAGAGAAGAGGGAGACAGGAAAGAAGAGCAGGAAAGAGCAGAAAGACAACTCTTAATTTTTATATTGTGAGTTTTGGGATTAAATTTGGAACTTTTGGATTAAAACTTTTTTTTTTTTTACATTTTTACTAAAAATATAGTCTCACTATGTAGCCCACACCAGCCTGGAACTCACAACCTCTGGGTCTTGGCCTCCAGAGTGCTGGGATAATAAGTACTTGCCACCATACCCAGCTCACCTTTTAGATTTTAAGGGGAAGGGTTCAGAATGCAGTTTAAAGTTCCTGGAAATAACTACAGACTGGTTACCAGTTTGTTCATTTAGAAATCTGAGACAGGGTATCTATCATACAGCCCAGGCTACCCTCAAACTTAACTACATAGCTGAGGCCAGCCTAGAACCCAAGGGTGCTAGGATCACAGGTGTGCACCAACATGCCCGGTGCTTTTAGACAAATAAACTCAGTTCATCTTTGTACACACCAGCAAGAATAGGGACCACCACCATCAGACCCATTTTGCAGATTAGAACAGAGATAATTAAAAGTCACTGGCCCAAGCCTGGCTTAATGATACATGCTGGTCAGTCCAGCTCTTGGGAGTCCAGGCACAAGGGCTGCCTCATTAGTGATCAGTCCTGGCTACAGAGGGAGTAACAGAACAGCCAAAACCATGTCTCAAAGATAGAAACTAGGGCCAACGAGACGGTTTGACAGATAAAGGGGACAGGTAAAGGGCGCTTGCAGCTAAGCACGGTGACCTGAGTTTGGCCTGGGACCCACATCGTGAGGAGAGAACCGACTCTAGCAAGCTATCATCTGGCTTTGGAAAATGCCCCGTGGCATATGTAGGTGCACCTCGCTCTCAAAATTAAATAAATAGTAAAAGTAAAAAGCCACTCTCCCCCAATAACTGTGCTAAGTTGACAATTTATAAACCCAAAAGGATGCTCTGCTGGGAGTAAATTTCACCCCAGGTCACCCAGACTTTTAATGGGAGATGGGACTGGAGGTGCGGAAATGGAGTCCTCTGGGAAGGAGAGGGACCCATGCCCAGCTCCCGCACCGCCCCTTTCCGAGTCTTATCCCATTCTTACTTGACTTCGGGGTCATCTTTGGTAGGTCTCTTGGGAAGGTACTTTTTCACCAGGCTCCTAAGGGTGGGGACAGAGGCAGGGAGGCTTGAGAACCTGCCGGATCACCGCGGAGCCCCAGCAAGCACCCACCCTAGCGCTCACCGGAGTTGCTTGGCATAAGCCTGCTCCACCTCTGCGCGTTCTTTCACGAACTTCACGTATTTGTCCAACAGATCCAGCCCCCACTGCGTGTGGCGTTCCAGCACCTCAAACTGATCCTGATTCCAGGGGAGTGATTGGGGAGGTCAGGGTCACCTGGAGGGAGCACCGAAGCCCCAGAGACCAGATGCACGAGAGGGTGGGGGCGCACAGGCAGGGGGTG